TCGTTTATTGTTCGCTACTGTGTTGCTATTCTAGTCTGGCCATTTCCTGAAGAAGAAAGAAAAAATCCGATCTATATGATGGAAAGAATAAAACCATTTTTTGATTCCCCAAAGTTTATAGGTGTTGTTCTCTTATTAAAATGATAAATGATATAACTAAACAAATTAATAAATATTTAGGTGACGCTGTGCGCTTGAATTTGTCATCGCATCATCCTATGCAGTGTGGTGAATTATTATCGCTCATTATTGTCTATAGGCTATTTTAGTAATTTAAATAGCATGGGTTATCTTAATATATTGATTAATGACATTGTATTATAATATTACACCACCCAAATATTTAGGCTACTACCTTCTAATTTCCGTTGTCAGTGCAGGCTTTTTTTTTTTTTTAGCTTAGGCTACTGACCGTTATGGATTAGTGTAGCCTGCATTAAAAAGTCTTGAACATAAAACAACAGGATAAAAATATAGTTGATGACTAGACATAATCGTTTCATGACTCTAGACACTTCTTTATGAAGGCAGTGGCATAATACAGTGAAATAATATGTTCTTTAGCCATATAAATACAGTTGTCATGTGTGTGGGTCAAATTTACCCGCTGGCGCTTATACAGCGACCTCTGGCGGTTCTAGTGTTAAAGAGCATAATAGGACCCCTTTAAGACATTTTGCATTTATATTTTGCCTAAAGAAAATTATGAATAAATTAATGGTCCTAAACAGAGGTTTAATTTTCTTTCGTCCTTGAAATATGCATTTTATGTGTCGCTTTCGTGAAATTCACCCACAGGAAGACATTGTGTTATGTGTGAGTCAGTGAGTAAGTGAGTGAATGTGAGAGACATAATAAAAACAGACATGAATGTGAACGAGAGAGAGAGAGAGCGAGAGCAAGCGCAACGGTGATTACTAATATATTTAAGTTACAGTAATTGTTATATATTCAAATATATATATATAATAATATACTATATATATGGTAACACTTTAGAATAGAGAACGTCTGTAACCCTCGTTCCCTGAAGGAGGGAACGGAGACGTCACGTCGGAGGACCGACGAATTGGGATCTCGCTTAGAGGGACCAATCTATTTCGAGTGTA